GCACATGGTCGTTGGTGTTTTTTTTTTGTTTTCGTTTTTTTTTTTTTTCGGTGTGGTTCCCCGCCCCCTCCTTAGGGGTTTTATGCTCCCTCTTTTTTTATTTTTGTTTTTTTTTTTTTTTTTCTTTTTTTTTTTTTTTTTTTTTTTGTTTTTTTTTTTTTTTTTTTTTTTTGGGCACATGGTCGTTGGTGTTTTTTTTTTGTTTTCGTTTTTTTTTTTTTTCGGTCGCCCGCCGCGCCGTGGCTGGGGAAAAAAAAAAAAAGCCTCATGGTTGGGCCACGGCCGAGATGTCTCGGCCACACCCCACATTGGCCACGACCGGGAACAAAAAAGCCTCATGGTTCGGCCACACCCCAGACTGGCCACGACCGAGATATCTCGGCCACACCCCACATTGGCCACGGCCGAGATGTCTCGGCCACACCCCAGATTGGCCACGACCCAGATGTCGCATGGCAAGGCGTGGTGGGGCCGCCCTACACAATTCACAACCTGGGTTTGTATTTCAATAGTGCAGGGATGGAGGCCAAAGAAGGAAAGAAAAGGAGAGGAAAAAAAAAAAGAAAAGAAGGGAGACTCTATGAATCCACCGACGTGGGGAAGACCCTCACGTAGGTGGAAGTTAGACCAGTGCTTTGAGGAATGTATCTGGCCAGTATGTGAGGACCGTGAGGGATGTTGTTTTCTTTCTTTGCTTTTTGTTGTTTTCTTTCTTTGCTTTTTGTTGTGAGGTCTTTGTAGCGCCCTGCCAGCCAGGCAGGGCGGATTCCACACTGCCTCGATTCATTCAGGTCCAGACAAGTACTGTAGTATCCTGTATAGGACCGCAATCCCAGCATAAGGGATGCTTTTTTTTTTTTTTTTGTTCGTGGATGGACGTCGTCGCTTTTTTTTTTTTTCCCTTCTTTTTGTATTCTTCTCTCAATTTCACCTCACACTACCTACCGACCACTACTCCTAAATGTAGGCATACGGGGAACCCCGTAGCAAACAGTACCGTGTTCACGAGAGAACATGCGGGTGCTGCTCCCGACCTGCAGGTGGGCGATACCAGCTAGGGGACAGCCGGTAGCATCAGGGACCATGCCAACATGACCAATTCTTGTGCCTCCCCTCAGGTCCCCTCCCCTACAAACATCAGCAGACTCTGCTCAATGCTGATCGGGGGATCCAGTGGTCTATGGGTGTCGTTCGACACTCCTCAGCGCGTCCTCGGGCTCCGATGACGAATCCTCGGAGTTTTTTTTTTTTTTTGGAGGTGTCGTTCCACCTGTCCTCGGAGAATCACCCCGAGGACGAATCCTCGGGGCCCTCCCGCGGCCAGTTTCATGAGATTATACACGGCCGCGAGGGGATTGTCCGACCTCCGATTCGGGATGTCCGTGTAAGAGGCGTGGTGGTCCAGCAGGCAGACGGCGGCAATACGTCATGGGCCCTGGAAAAGAAAATCGTGAACGCGAGAACGGCCCCGTTCGAAATTCGAAATTCGAATTTTCTTCTTGCGGAGCGACGGTGTGGCGGCGCACATGCGGGTCGGCGAGGGGGCAGTGCACGCCTCGCAGGGTTTCGGTTGCCATCGCGTTGCGTACTTCAGCGGCGCCACACCGCCATTGTCTCAAGTGTGGTCGATGCGGCGAAACGAAGAGGGGTATTGGCAGTTGCGCTCGCCACGTGGAGGCGCGTGGCGGTTCCGTACTTCAGCGGCAGTGGGCGGACGCTCCAATCGGGGTGGAACATCATTGAGCACGGTTGTATTCCTGACCCGATTGCAGGCGTCTTCAATCGTGGTGGCAGAGGTAGACGGAGCTGGGTGGCGGTGGACGTTGTTTTTCGTGTTGGAAAAGCATAATGGAGGGCTGCGATGGGCATGGCCATGCTGTGTTGTCGACGAGGGAGAAGACAGCTGTCGCGGCGGCTGCGGTTGCCGTTGTCCGTCGATTCAAAGTAGAGAGGGTGGCCGGGCGCATGAAGGCAACGCTTTCGAGGCGGCGGCAGAGGCTTCTGCTGCAGAGGGTGTTGGACGCCCCGGACTGCATTACCACTTCGGAGGTCGTGGTTCAGCTGTGCACTGCAATCAGGTGTGGTGTGCTTCCTCGGGCGACGCCACGTTGGTGGATGAGGCGGAGAGCTGGCGGGACTTGGGAGGATTTGCGTGTGTGCGATGACGCGACAGACGACTACTTTCGGGAAAAGCTCCGCATGTCCAGGAGAGTGTTCATGGAGATCACCGAAGCCTGTGCGGCTCATTTGCAACGACAAGTGACGTTTTACAGGGAGCCACTTCAGTCGGAGCAGATCGTCGCATACGCGCTGTACAGGTGGGCTACAGGAGAGTCATACAACAACAGCACATCATCCTTCGGCATAGGCAGGGCTTCCGGAGTTCGAGCCGTGCGCGATGTGACAACCGCTATGTTGAGGGTGTACGGGGACAAGATATCGTGGCGACGGGGGTGCGGAAACACGTCGTGCTACGGGCGTTTCTGGACAAGGGCTTTCCCAACTGCCATGGCGCAGTTGACTGCACACACATCTACGTGGACAAACCGGCGAACGCGCCAAGCAAGAACTACCTCGACCGCAAGCACCGTTTTTCCGTCATTGCGTAGGTGGTGGTGGACCTGGATCTGCGCGTGCTTGACGTGTTCGTTGGATATCCGGGGAGCTGACACGACATTAGGGTGATCCAGCTGTCAAGTCTGTCGAGGCGTGCGGAAGAGGGAATGTTATTTCGTGGGCCGCCTGTCACGCTGCCGAGAGGGGTGAGGGCGATTGGGCGACAACGGTTATCCTCCTTCTGAATGGGTATTGGTGCCATACGGAGGAATCAATCAGCACCCAGACGAGGAAAGGTTCGACACGAAGCAGAAGGTCGCAAGAGGGGTTGTGGAGAGGGCGTTCGAGAGGTTGAAGGGGATGTGGAGGCTCTTCCTGCGGACGCACAAGACGAACCTCGACACTCTACCGCAGCAGTTCACGACCGTCTGCATTCTCCACAACATCCTGCTCGATGCCGGTAGCGAGTTCGACCTGTTGTGGGAGGTCGACAAGAACGGGGTGAGGCGCCGACTGGACCTGAGGATTCATCGTACCCCGCAGCCAGTGAAGATGTCGACTTCGACGCACACGACACACGCGCTCCGTAATGCGCTGGTGGAGCGAATGAAACACATATGATCCTGCCTACCGCATGCCTATTTCTCTCATAGAAGACTTCTTCGTTGAAGTCGTATTTCGTCGTCGTCGATTCACAGCGCTTGCATCTTTCGCTTACGCGCGCAATTAATTCGGAGGGTTTGCTGTCGCGGATGGATTGTTTTTAGGTGTTTGTTGTGGTAGTCGACGGTAGACTGCTTGTCTAGTTCGTCGATCATTGGCAGTGACGCGGCTTCATTGTTGTTGTAGTTGCCGCAATGGTAGTGTGGTTGTTTTTTCGGTCTTCCTTGTTGTTGTAGTCGGCGAAATGGTGTTCCCGCGCAATTCCGTGGATTCTGGGACGGGAAATCAGATGGGGACGGGGGAGGGGGGGAGGGCGGGAGGTGAGGGGCGGCATGAAGCAGATCGTCAGCCCGCTGTTTCGCATGCGCTTTACAGTGCTGTTTCCCTTGAAATTCAACGATATGTGTTTTTTATGATGTTTGTGTAAGGACGTCTTCGTGCGTCCGACTGCTATCCTTCTTTCGAGGACACATGTTTTTATCGACTACACAGAACGTCTGTCATGCATGTTGTCTGCACTTCTCTGCGTTTGCTAAAGTCAGTCGGTGAAGCTTCGTTGTTCCATTAACGACTTACATGCAGTGAAAAAAAAATGAAAGAAAAACTCACGACAGATTGGTTATTTCGGCAACTGCGCGGTGACCTTCCTTCGATGTTTTTTTTTTTTTTTTTGGCTTTTGTCCGGTGCTGGCGATCATCACGATTTAGCGATGCCATTATGAACGGAAAGATGGCCAGCAAACATAAAAAGATGACAATGAAAGTGCGTGGATAAGTTCCTTCCTATTTTCCTTGTTTTCTTTTGTTTTCTCAGGTGTCGGCGATGATAACGATGCCGCGATTCCTAAGATCGAATGAAGGGCCGCATACATAAGAAGATGTGGACGAGAATGCGATGGCCATTAACGCATGCGTCACATGATAAACCCACATAGAAGACAAGAAAAGCAGTACTGCGTAAGCAATCATAAGCATGCAAACACACGACGTCGACACAGAAACATAAATTTGAGGAAATCCATTCAATAACACAACAATGTTCAGGCGGCGATCCACTTTTCTCCTAACTATCCACCCTCCAAGCCGCCCACACCAAAGACGGACTATTCCTGCCGTTTACGTACATTTCGGAGGTGTCATCCACTGAGCTAAGAAACCTTTTTGTGGAGCAGAACTGTAAAGTGTGCTCCAATCACAAAAAAAAAAAAAAAAAAAAAAAAAGAATAAAGCGTCCACAACACATCTACTACAACGCCATCTGTTGACGTCGCCACGCCATTGGACCGCGCACTGCCAGTCCTACCATCTGCTGACGTCACCACGCCGTTGGAGCTGCGCAGGACCGGCCAGCTCACCTTCCCCTCGCTCAACCACCAACACCTGCCAACACCCATCACGCCCGTGCACTAACGTCTGCTGTTGAAGCCGCACAGTTCGTCGTTTCCTGATCCCACGCGCCAATCCGTCGACGATCCGCACCCCGCCGCTGCCTTACGGACGAACCGACGTGTCAACTGCCCTCATCTCCATCATCGTCCGCCGCGGGCCCGCTGCCGATCCAGTCGTGTTTTGCAGTTTGCGCTGCATTCTTCAGGGCCGCATTGTGCCCGAACACCAACCCGCAATCAGACCATTCCGGAATGCAATGAGGGTAATCTCCCAGCGTCAGGTGGGCCTTCCCTAGACGATCCAAGATGAGGTTGGCAGTGTCGACGATGTGTCGCCGCCAGTTGAAGATGTAGGACCCCGCCGCTCTTATTGTGGTTTTGGCGACCATGGACGCGTAGAACCACACCTCGTAAGCCGCAACAACCTCTCCTGTTTCACTCGCCCGCCGTCCGTCCATTGTCCGCACCAGACTGCATCTATCCAGCAGCCCGCCAAGCGAAGAACTGTTGCCTCCTGCCGCGCCGCCATGTCGTCGTCTTCCGGCCGGTCCACAATCTTCACCCCCGCGAACCACAGAGGCACGTCCATCTTCATCGCCGACGTGTGGTGGACGAGGGCAGGGGAAACCACTTTGGACCATTCAAATCCCTGCCAAACTCCTCGTGCGACGTCTGTAGCAACGTCGACGGTGATGTACGACTCTGCACGAGCGAAGCCAGTCGACCTCGACGACGATTTGAAAATCCAGTCGTGGATGGTGCGCAGCACCAATTTCTCCATGCTGCGCGCTCTGCGTAGAGCTGGTTCAGGCTGCGCAGGGTCCTCGATCTTGAAGAGCGGCACATCATTCGGCGGCATTATGAGCATCAAAGGCGGTTCAGCTCCTGCGTCTCCGTTAGCGATGACAACGAAGTAGTCCGCGCAGTCGCCTACCGCCTCCCTCAAGGGTTTCCCCGGGCCCTGACCCCAGAAAGCGTCGCAATCAACCCACAACTTCGACCTCTCTTCGAGATCATCCTCCTTTGCCGCTCCCTTCAACCTCATAACAAGTGGACGGTCGTCGTCGTCATCGCCCTCTCGCTCTCCATCTCTTCTCCCATCATCGCGGCGGAAGTCGTCGACCCTCCCCTCTTCCGCACCTTCGGCGAGTCCGCTTCTAGTGGTGTGATTCGCCGCCGCCGTCCGACTGCCGCTCGCCGTCGCCTCGCCCTTTTGTGCGGACGGTGTTTTCCCTCCCCCTGAAGCCCCCGCCTGTTGCACGGGGAGTGGCTGACGTGGCTGACCTTGGCCTACCACCGCCGGAAGTTGCCTCGGTACGCACGCCTCCGTGATGACAACCCCTGTCCCCTTCGGGGTCCTTGGCAACGCCCCGACAGCACCAACAACGACGCTCTGTTTGATAGCGGACAACTGTTCCCTTGAAACCCCATCCCGCCCAAAACGCAATCGCATCGCCCCTACCGTCCCTTGCACATCCACCATCACCACTTTGTCTGCCTGAAAGTCGTCAGTGTGTTCGGAGCTCGCCTCGTCAACGCGCTGCCTTTTCGACTTTGGCACGTGGCCTCTGCCTTTTTGGGTTTCCCCCCCCTTCCCTACTCCGCTATCTTTCCTGCCCTTCCCTGAGGCGCTCCTCGGGGCCATCTCGTCCGCAACTCGGAAACAAGGAACACGTGAACGAAGGAGGACGTGGATGAAGGAGCACGTGGACGAAGGCCGCGTGGAGGTCGACGACGGGCACGTGGACGAAGGAGCACGTCAATGATGCGCATGAACGGGCACTGGCCGCGGAGCCGCGACAACGATGGCGACCAAAAAAGAGCATGTGGACGAAGGAGGACGTGGAAGAAGGAGCACGTGGACTAAGGAGCACGTGGACGGAGGATGCGTGGAGGTCGACGACGGGCACGTGGATGAAGGAGCACGTGGATGATGCGCATGAAGGGGCAGTGGCCGCGGAGCCGCGACAATGATGGCGACCACAAAGGAGCACGTGCTTGATGAGCATGAAGGGGCACTGCCCGCGGAGCCGGAAGCGGAAGCGTGGAGCGGCGAAGCGGATGTGCAGGCGTGCGACGACGACTCAGTGCGCAGACGGTACCATTGGAGCCGTGGGAATTGAATCACTGCGGTACGGAATGGCGCCCAGACTCTCCTTTTGTACATTGCGCGCTCTTGCAGTACACCATGGACACGCCTCGCCGTCCACAACAGCCCGCCCCTTCGCCGATCGTGCATGGACCATTTTCCCCGCCGGCTGCTGTTGATCCCTCGCATGGCCAACAACGCATGTGGGCGCGCAGGAGGACCCTGGGGGAGGTCGAAAGAGCCCGCCACCCCCCAAAACTCGAGGCACCCTTGTCCGCCATTTTCCCCTACCGCCCGAAAAACACACCCTGCCACCTATTCCTTCTCCGACACCCCAAAGAAGACCCTGGTAGATCGCCATCCATGCGTGGCGGCAACGCCTCACAACACCAGCCGTTAAACAAAATACAAAATCGGAGGACCTACTGTACAACCGAAGGACGCGCCGAAGGGCATGACAACAATGAATACCCTTCACAATCATCAAACAAATCCACACTTAAAAAAACTGTACGGGCAAAAACGACCCGTCGTCTCTACACCACCTGCCCATCACCGCACTGCAGCACGCAGGACGACGGCAACGGTGATGCTCCGGAAGTGCACACGTGGCATTCGCGTGGTCGTCAGACATGTGTGGCCGAGCGACGTTAGGATCGCTCACGGATCGCTTTACCAATCTCCAGAAGGGCGTTGCACATCATGAAGTTCACCTGGTCGGCCTTCACGTAGTGCTCCTTCTGCACTTCTAGCTCTCGCTCGAGAATGTCGCATTGCCTCGTCAGAACTGAGCACTGCCTCTTGCTCGCGTTGTCCACCGTCGTCGCCATCAGATTCCCGTGCTCCTTCATGACGTCCGCAATCGTGTCGAAGGTCTGTTGTCTTACATTCTTCCGTTTGCCGCCCCCGCCACCACCACCGCCGCTGAACGTTGAATCCCTCGTCGATCCCTGATCGTCGTCCTGTCCATCCCCGCATCCCTCACTACCGCCGGATTCATTCCGACCTCCACGTGGGCCGATCATTTGAACACCTCCAGCCGCACCCGTGTCCGCGAGATTCGTGGGGTGTATAGTGTGATCGCCCCTGGACATGGCCGTCATCTCCGAATACACACGCTCATCCATCTGAAAGTCGAACCCCCGCTCCTTCCTCTCCCCCGACGTTAGTGTGAAGAAATTAGGCTTCCCCGATTCTCCCATAAACTTGTGCACGGTTTTGAACTACTGGTACAGGTTGTCCCATTTTCCCCCCCAGTCCACGGCCTTTCTACTCATCACCCCCATCTGCACGAGCCTCTTCTCGACGCCGTCTCACTTCCATGTCTTTGTCTTCATCCTTCCGCTGTTGTGCCCCAGGCCGGCCAGATGCAAATCCTGGTCTCTTTTAGCTCGGATCAGAGCAATCATGTGCTCCACGGTCCAAAAATCCCTGCTTTTTGCTCCCTCGCCTGTTGACATATCTTCCACACCCTTCTTGCCTCTCTACCCCGTGCACGGTTCTGTAAACTTGTTTGTGCCCTTGACCCTCCCCACTTCCTCCCTACTGGACGAATCTCCATCTCCCCGTCGTCGTCCTCGTCGTTGTCATTGGACCCGTCGTCTGCCACGCAATCTTTGCCCCCTGCACCATCGCAATCGCCGAATTTATCGCCCGCCCCCACATTAATCTTCGCCACCCCTCTTGTTATGCCGGACGTGCTCGCTTGACGGGATTGTCGCCGATGATCATCCCAAACCTTTCGTCCCACGACCTCCGCAGCGGAGCACTCTTCGTTGTCCCCTCGTCCGTCGATTGTGCCGCCTGGCGTCGTCGGAGCCGATCCACCTGTCGTCGTCCTCGGTGCGGCCACACCTGCTGTGCCCACTGCCCCCCGCCTTGACGAAAAGAGTCCACGTTCGTTGCCCGACTGACCCGAACACCAGGCGCGGTTATCCGGAAGGCCCGACGCCCTCACCGAAGCTGGTGTGTGGTTGGTGCCAGAAGCTGGGTTCACGAGAACGGTGTGCGTCACGTCCTCGACACTCCCAGACCTCAAACCGAAGCTGAGATCTACGAGTCCTGCGTCATAACCAACCGCGGTCCGCCCCTCCAGTAGATCAGTGTACGTCGGTGTCGATGCCTGTCTGTACAGTTGGCTCCCCATCCAATCCTGCGTCGAACTGCTGCCCAGAGGAACCGTTGAGGATCGGGGGTTGTCGCCCTCGTCATCACTTGGAGGCAACGAAATCTCGTGGGACGGCAGGTGGCTGTACATCGTTGGGTCATACGGCCGCCTGCCGCCTTCCGCATTGCTGCAACGCTGACGTGACGACCCCCCAGCCCGTACGGACAGCTCGGTCTTCGTTTGTAGCTTCTCCATCTTCCTGCCCCTCTTCGGCGTTCGCCGCGTCTGTTTCCTCCCAGGGACGTGACTGAGGAAGCATATATGAAAGACGACAACGGCAAGCAGCAGCACAGTGACGAGCAGCAGCAAAGGCAGCCTGCGGTACAGGTCAGCCATGAACGATAGGGCAGCCGAAACAGAACACGCACTTGCGTTGTTGCAATCGCGGCGACCGGAGACACACGTTGTGAGAGGGAAGACGCCAACGTACGAAATTGCTGCAAGCACCGGCTGGGGGAGGACGCTTACAAAATCCGTATTTTCGACCGTTGGGAAGCCCGTGGGAACGCCAGGACCCCTCCAGGAGCCGACCGAAGATGTCCGATGCTCGCCACGGCACCACCGTGGACCCGCCCGACGAACCGACAGGGCCGTACTGTCAATCGGCGCCAACGGCCCAACGGTAAAACGGCGAGGCCGTTGGTGGACGTTTTGGACGAGGACGGCCCGCGATGTCCGTCTTCCGGCTGGTGGACCACCACTGGACCACCTTCGACCTCCATTTTCCCTTCTGGACTCGCCGCCGACACCCCGATAATCGCGGATCCTCGGGCTCCAAAAGACCTCGCGAGGTCCCTTGGAGCCGAGGACGATTTGGCTGGGAAATCCTCGGAGCCCGAGGATTTGTCCTCGGAGTGTTTTCACATTTTTGTTCCGAAAATCGGCTCCGAGGACATGGAACGACGACGAAATCCTCGGAATCGCGTCCCCGAGGAGTGTCGAACGATGCCCTATCTCTAGGTGGCGGGCGCCAAGCATGCCCAGGAAGGTACATGAGGCCAATGGGGATTGAACCCACGACCTCCTAAATGCCACTTGCGTGCCTTACCAACTGAGTTAGGCCACTGGATTTTTCTTTTCTTTTTGGCCGCTGCTGCGGCCGTCTTTCCCCTTCCTTTTTCGTTTCGTCGCTTTCGGCGCTGCTTTCCCATTTTTGGCCGCCGCAGCGGCCGTCGTCCCCCCTTTTTTTTTCGTTTGGTCAGTTCCGATGCAGGCAGTCTGTCGCGTCCCTTTTTTTTTCGTTTGGTCAGTTCCGGTGCAGGCAGTCTACCGCGTTCCCGCTGCTCGCTTCTTTTCTTTTTTCGCTTTCCTGCTCGCTTCTTTTCTTTTTTCGCTTTCCCACTTTCTTTTCTTTTTTCGTTTTCGTTGCGCTCTCACTTTTCCTGCTCGTGTTAGTGGCAACTTTTTTCGTTTTCACCGCTATCCCGCTTTTCTTGCTCCCGTTAATGACAAAAGTCATAAGGGCAACGCAGGCACCCGCAACAGCAACCATCCACACCCACGCACCCATGCACCCACGCCCACGCCCACGCCCACGCCCACGGCCACATTTTCCCTTTTTTTTTTTTTCGTTCCGTCGCTTTCGGCGCCACTTTCCTCTTTTCAGCCG